CGAAAAAAAAGACAAAAAGGAAAAAAAAAAAAAGACTAAAGATAAAGAGATCTCCCTCAGACCCACCATCCAAAGAAAACGATTGTAAAGATGTTGTTATATTTTTAGGAAAATAAACTGTAGGGAATTACTAATAAAAGCATGTTTCTGTATGTGTTTAAGCTAGTTAAAATGGCCTCTTGTTTTGATTAATACTGCCTAATGAGTACCAACTTTTTTCAGTTTATAAGAGTTTTATGAACATTTCACATGAAACCACAGCATTAATGTCTGTGGCAGCCTTGGTCAGTCACCTGATAGCTGGTCCTGTTTCCCAAAGAAGAGTTAACACACCTTCCAGATGATGTTCATCTACCTTACATCAGGGGAAGCATGTTCTTCCTCAGTAGAGGTTTTTTTTTTTTTTTTCTTCATTAATTCCGACCAAGACTCTGAGGAAGAGGAAATGGGTACAGATTTGTTAGAAGAGATGGAAATGGGCCAGTGACTTGGTTATGGTATAGGGATCCAGCAACTTAAGGCCACACAGTTTCTGAAAAAATATGGAAGATTGCATCCACTAATTTATTTCTTGTCCTATATCTCCACTGAATGTCTTATATAAAATTATATCTCAGTACCCTAATGGAATGAAATGCTGAAACAATATATGCCTTTTCTGAATTATTCATTTATTCTTTGTAGATTATAACCAGGTTCCTGTTAATTCAATTCAGTTAGTTCAGAATTACAACATATGATATCATCTGATCCTTGCCATATTATCTACTTGTTTTCCTACTCTGGATCCCTAATCAATATCTTTCAGTGTCATCTTTGGTCATGGAAGTCACATTTCAGTGAAGGCTGCCTATTCTGGTCTACTCAGATCTCTTGTTAATACCAGGCAGTGCCTGGCTGGTCCTGGGGTTCTGCTGATTTTCAAGTGTTCTGATTGAATTATTGCTTGTTCTGCCATGATACTGATTTCCTTCACTATTTCATGCTTCAAGTGGAAATATCCACTTGTTATTTATCCCTCATACTCCTTTTGAAAATAGCACAGTAAAGAATTCATTTAATTTTTTTCAGCTGTCTTCTTTTTCTGTCAATATTTCAGCACAGTATTTCTTAAGTGCTGTTCTATCTCTTGCATTGATTTTCTTAATGCCCTTTAATTATTTCTTACCTTTAAAATTTTGTAGCTTTTAGTATTTAGTAATTTGTGCTGTCATCACAGAGGCAACTTTAATTCTTTTGATCATTCAGATTTCTGTGGGTGTTGATCCTAGACCACAAGATGACGCTTTATTTGGAGAAGCATTAATAGGTTGAGGCTGTACATCTGAAGAGCAGGATTGCCAGTGGAAGCAATGTAGTGGGCTTAAGTATAAGTTGCATATTATTATATTGTAGAGAACCTCTTTATGATGCTGGTGAAGAAGGAAAATACAATAGCCAGGTTTTAAGCTTTCCATATTATAGTGGATACACTATACATTTCTGTGTACCTGCCCTACTGTATATGGAATCAGCAGCATAAGGTTACAGTCAGTTACCATTAATCATTTAACCAATATTTAATGATTATCGTGCCATGAAAGAAACTGCACCAAACACTATTGGGGATGTAGAGGATTAAAGGCACTTTATGTTTAAGACACATGTACAAAACACATGTACATTTTTCATGTAACTCAACCTGAGGCATAACACAGAGGGATGCTGTTGGACAGAGAATGGGGTGGCTCTACAAATACTGTACACTAAGGTAAATTGTTAATTAAGGCACAGGTAGAAAAAAAATTTCGTAGAAGACTTCGGAATAAACTTCATTTTTCTATAAAACATTCAAAGTAGCATATAGTATCAATTTATGGGAGTAACTAATTTTAAAAGAATAAAGCAAAGTAGTCAGTAATTATTGAATGGCCAACAACAGGATGAACTAAATATAACTCATGGGCCTGGTTGGTCTTTGATACTTCACAGGCCAGTTATTAGAAATTGCCCAAGATTAATGAAAAGGATCTCAGATTGCTTAGATACCAGTTTGTTTCCTTGTACACATGGTCTAATGTATCACATTGGCATGTGCATTTTCTTTTCAGCATGCACTTCTGGCTTTAAAGTTCATACTTGCATTTGCCATTCCTGATAAACCACGGCACATCCAGATGAAACTAGCCAGATTGGAATTTGAATCTTTGGAGGCACTCAAGCAGCAGGTAAGAGCAACTATTCTGAAAAATGAATGTTATTTCTTTAACAAATGATAGGAAACATAATTCAGGGGGATAACTCAGCATTTTCTTCAGCCTTGGAGTTACCAGTTTGAATAACTACATTGATGTTTTAAGTGCAGAAAAGTAAATAAAGAATGAAGTCCTCCCTCATGTTGGTAGTTTGAATAATTCCTTGAATTCTCTTATGCCATTTTCAGACACACGTGGGCCCATCCTTCACACACTCTTCCTTCTCTTGCTCCTCCTTTGTTTTTTTGTTTGCTTGTTTCTTTTACAAACATTAGTATTCTTTTTTAAAAAAATTAAACAGGTGAAATTTTTAGAATAAAATTTATTTTCACATAAAGGGTATTTTATATATAAAGTTTGAGGCCATGAATAAAGTGTGGAAACCAAGTTGCAATATGAGGCAAACTGGAGTTTGTTTGTAAATCCTCTGTAAACCTCTCAGGTAGGATCGGAGCAACACCAAGGCTAGAGGACAGACCTGCAGGCTGTTGATTTGGCACCCCATTTAGTATTTTTAAGTATTTGCTCAGCTTTCATTGAAGGAGGGACTCAGAAACGCGGGTGAGGGGCAGAGAAGCAGGATGAGTGGGGAGAGAGGTGGGCAGAGCACGGCCCCTCCAAACAGCCTTGTTCCTCCAACTTTGCAAGGAGCTTGTGGGCACAGACATCTTTAAAGGCCTCGATTTTCAGATGCTCAATTTACACGTGCACTCTTCTAAAACATAACTGTCCAAGGATGCCCTGGAGTCCTGGGCTGACTCCTCCTGGCTGTCCACAGCCACCTCTCCTTTCACAGTTGCCCTCCTCCCACTGTTCAGAAAAAAGGCACACCTCTCTCATCGTGAACCCTACCCTGTGCCTTGTTCCCAGGAGAAAAGCCTCCCAAGTGACAAAGAACCTTTTAAAATGGAGGTGTCAGGGGCTAAGCTGCATTCAGTAATGGCACCCCAGTCTTCCACCCACCAAAACCAAATCCGTCTCCTTAAGAGATGCATTTCTAAAATGTATCCAAAAATGTATGTGCAATAATTGTTTATTAAAATATATATTCTATTTTTATAATTTTTATCCTTTATTTCACCAGTAGTACTTGTAATAACTAATCAGGCCAGAAGAAAATTGTAAACACTTATAGAGACTTATGTCACAGGAAATTTTTAAAGGTTTTTAAATTCAATTTATGAGTATATTATTGTAGTAAAGTATGAGAGAGTGCTTTATAAAGATTTTCAAGCAAAAATATATATTTTATTAGTATAAAATTCCTTTGGAGAAATGAAAAGAAAACATGATTTCAAAGAGGAAAAAGGAAAACAAAATTTTACTATTAATAGCATGTTCATGGATCTTAAATGGATGATGGCAGATATCACATCACTATGGTATTTAAAATCCCTTGGATATCTTTAAAAGAATGACTCAGTAGTTTTATTTTTAAGTGTCAGTATTTACCAGATGCTAGAAAGTACGTTTTTGCAACTATTTGATTTACGATGAAAAATTTTAGATGTCAATTTAAAATCGTGTGGGAAGGCCCATTGCATATAAACATTTTAGGGGGTATGTAAGCAAAAAATTTTTTTAATGTACTGCATTGTCTCTGGAAGAGTTTTGGTCAATCATATTTCTCCACTGATTACATTTCTAGAGACGTTTCATAGATCAGGGCAGGCAACTTCTTGGCTCCAGGTCAAGGCGAGAGTTTGCTTAGCATTAGTAAAACTTTCCTCTCACTCAGCATTTTGTGTTTCATATTTGTCTGAAAAGCAAAGGGTTTTTATTCATGTTGGATATTATTAACATGTCTCATCTGCTGCTGGGGATGTCACAGACTTGTGTTTACTATGGATGTGGCTGCATGAACTCTCAAGTCATCTCAGCGCTTAAATTTCCATATCTTCAGGTATGCTCTGCCTGACAGTGAAGCAAAGTCCCAATCCAGAAGTAAAATTTTTTACATTCGTCTTCATTGAGAAATGAAACTCTCACCAAAATTCTGTCTCATATTGCTTAAAAAGAAGAAAAAATCTTAAAGATTTTAAGTCTCTTTGAGTTTTTTGTTTTCCCTCCTGAGGACGTAGATGTGATTCTCTGATTAACATCACCTTGTAGGTAAAGGTGATTTGGGTGCTGATTTTGCTGTTACTGTTCTGGAGGGACAGAGATGTCTAACAGGTTTCGACTCAGTGCATGTATCACATGCCTTCAAACAGGATGTTCCTACCTTGCTTTAAAGATGATTTTTAAATTTGTGCATGTACAGCTTGAATGTCTCTGACCCATCAAGTGGGCAGGAGGCAGTGATGAGTGTTGTGGTAAGGAGCTCTTAGGGCCTTGCACAGACGGGTAAAGCATTCTTCCCTCCCAGTCCCCACTACTTTTTTTCTTTTCATTTTCAATCTGAGAATAAAAGGTCCAGGGCAAGAGGTGGGCAGAAGATACTGCAGCAACTCTCTTGCTCTCTCTTGCTGAGCCAAGGCTTTGCTGCATGGCCAGCACTGCTGCGTGGGCCACCCAAGTGTGTGCTACCACCAGGGAGAGAGAGTTTTTCATCATGCTTCCTGTTTAGTCTCACTACCCCTGGCCAAGGCTTTGCTGCATGGCCAGCACTGCTGCGTGGGCCACCCAAGTATGTGCTACCACCAGGGAGAGAGAGTTTTTCATCATGCTTCCTGTTTAGTCTCACTACCCCTGAGGTCCTAGAAGGTCCAGAAGGTCGGCCACTTTGTCTTTTTCAAAAACTCAAATTGGGGCCGACCCCGTGGCGCACTCGGGCAAGTGCAGTGCTGGGAGTGCGGCGGCGCTCGCGCTGCAGGTTCGGATCCTATATAGGGATGGCCAGTGCGCTCACTGGCTGAGCACGGTGCGGGCGACACCAAGCCAAGGGTTGCGATCCTCTTACTGGTCACAAAAAAGACAAAAATAAATAAATAAATAAATCGAAAACTCAAATTGACTGGCCACGTCTTCAATTTACTAGCAGAACCTAGTACCTTTTCTAGGATACAGACTTTTTTTTTCTTTTTCTTTTTTTTTTTTTTTAATCTGACATTTAACTATCTGCTTTGTAACTCAGCATAACCTGAACTCACTGGGCTCTTCCTTTGTACCAAAAGCAGAGAGATGTTCTTCTGGGTCCCCTGGTCAGTTTGTGGGCCACATCTGAAGGGGATGCACGGATGACGGAATCACGCGAGACCCGGTCTGACGGTTCACCAGAGAAGTTCCGCTTTATTCAAGGACTGCGCGTACATTTATAGGGTGCTGTGCTCCGAGGCAGGAGAGAGAGTAGATGGGGCGGTAACTGATTGGACTGGGCTGGGCAGGAGGTGAGCCTTGACCTGTGACTGGCTGAGGTTTGGCGTGGGTGGGCTTGGGTGTTGGCGCCAGCGAGCTTGTTTACTATGGAGAAGAACCAGGAAGGGTGCCATATTGCCAGGGTGTGTCCCTGTTCAGGTGCCCATGGGGTCCCTATAATATCAAAGATGGAGTTATTGAAAATATATCAAAGACTAAATCTCATTAATCCCTGGCCTATCTCTGGATTCTTTCATTGTGAAGTGACCAGAAATTGACAGTAAACCTGCCAATAGAAATTGAAGTTACTTTGTAAATAATCATTATATTATGTTTAACATATATTTGAATTGCTACTTTTCAACTCAATTCTCATCTTATGGACAAAATGTGATTGAGAAATTTAAGTCATCAGACAGTTCTTAAATAGGACCGTGCATTTTAAATGTAAAACTTTTGAAAAACACATGTGCCTAGACCCTGCACCCTAAAGATTCTGATTCCCTAAATCTAAGGTGGGACCCAAGGACTTACATTTTAAATGCAACCTCCTGTTGCTCCACACCCCTTTCTTCCAATCCCCATCCACCAACAGAGATGGGTCAAGTGAGTGCTGAGAACAATCAAGTTCTGGGCCAAATTTTGCTGCCTGTGAACGAGTCAAGTAGCGTCTTTGCCCCTTGGCTTTGTGTTTTATGAAATGAAAGGCTGGATTCCGTGGTCTGTGGGAAGCCCCCAAAATCTACATTTTTAACCAGCACTTGCAATGACTACTGCAGGAGGCTGGGAGCCATTTGGAGAAGTGCTCTGTGCGTTCAGTTGTTCCTCTCAGCTTGTGATTGGGGAGGAGGGAATGTGGAAAGGAAATGTACTGAAAACAGATCTTTCTTCGGTATCAAATAGGAAATTTTGTGGTGTTCCTAAATATGTAGGCAGACAGATGTACTTGAAGGTGAGAGGCAAATGGGGGAAAATAAAATAGTTTGCTTTGCAAAGGACATTTTCAAGTGATTAGGGTTCACTTGGCTTAGACCTTTACGAAGAATTCTACACAGTAAATATCATCCTAGTAATGCCTTTTTATTTCTTTTCAAATTGATTTATTCACCTCTCAGTCATTTTAAGATCCAGTTAAAAATAGAAGGGAGTCTTATCCAGGAACCATTTGATAACTCGATGGCCTAGAGTACAGGGACACAACATCCTCCACACAATCAACACTGACCGGCCTCAGGCAGCCTGCCCTCCGGGGCCCAGAGCACACACGGAAGCCAGGAAGCAGGGTGACCTCAGCAGAAAGACAACCTCAGAAATCAGTTAATAGAACAAGATAATTTTAAGAAGACACCACAATACTAATTATAGCCTTCAAAGGCCTCAAGTCAGGTTCAGGACCTTTGACTGGGCAGGACAGCTGGGCCAGGCTTCATCAAATTCTATCTTGTTTTCTAGGATTAAGATATATTCAGACCATTTTTCCAACATTTCCTAAGAGCTTCTGAACTTTTCTTTGCCTACATCTGTGCTCTCAAGTTATGGTAAATATATAAGCGTTTTTAATGGAAAGTGTAAAATTTCACAGCATCAAATGAGGGTGCTAAAGTATTTGACTCTGAAACATGTAATCACATATTAATCTGCCAAAATGTACTTCAGATGAAATACTGACTCTACATAAAGAATTGGCCTCTACGAAAGCAGGTGGCTGGCAGTGCCAGGGCCATAGTCCTTGGGGAGGGTCCATTTCCCAAGGCCTCAAGTCAAGTCCAGGTCCAGTCACTTCCAGGTAAAAGTAAACCAAAGTGTACATTGTTTGGAGAGTTTGGGTGGCCTGCTTGGGCTGGCCATGCCCTTTCTTCCTGTGTCAGGCGATTTCTCGCAGCTCTGTGCAGCTATAGGACAAGTGACTTGAACTTCCTGTGTTACAGTCTCCCTAGCACTGAGATGGGGCAGAGGAAACTGCCTTATTCACATGAGGCAGTGTGCGTAAGACACCCAGAGTGGAGCAGGGCTGTGGGGTCTTGAGGATGGTGAGGCAGAAGGGGGACCACCTCATGAGTGGGCACTCTGGGCCGCTGGCAAGCAATTCCAGAAGAAAATGCAATCATAATGCCAGATTCAGATGGTGAGTCAGGATTCTACCTCTGCAGCACTCACCTGTTTTCATGACCCTAACACAGCTGGGCCGTGATAACAACAATGAGGATGGTAATAGCAGGCACATAGTAGGTGGAGTGTGAGCCAGGCACTGTGTAAACTTCTGCTTGTGCCAGTGACTCTTCAGAGCATCCTCCAGGCTAGACTCTGTTAGCCATCTGAAGGTGGTTTTTCACACAGACTTCTCTCCCGTTGATAAATGATAACCTTTTTTTTTTTTTTTTGTCTTTTTGTCTTTTTTCCGTGTCTGGCAACGGATCGCAACCCTCAGTGTTGCCCCCGTACCGGACCGGGGAGGACCGGCAACGGGATCGCAACCCTCGGTGTTGCTCCCGCACCTCGCTCAGCCAGTGAGCGGGAACCGGTCTGTATGTGGGATCCGAACCCTCGGACGGGAGCGCCGCCGCGCTTCCCGAGCGGCGCACTATCCAGTGC